ATGTATGTATTTATGTATGTATGTTATGTATGTATTTATGTATGTATGTATGTATGTATGTATGCATGTATGCATGTATGTCTGCAGCTGTATGCGATGCTAGGATCCTCACTGTCTATATCTATCCTTTTATCTATCTATCTATCTATCTAACTAACTATCTATATAGATATATGTATGTATGTAAATATATACATATATCTATATATATATATATGCGCATATACATATACATACATATAAGTAAAAATGGATCATCAGCACTTGCACGGAGCTTGGGATGCTCAGGTCCTCACCATGCCAGCTCTCTAGACCCCTTACCCAGAAGGCCCAAAGACACTACAATTATGGCATTAGGCTTTGAAAAAACCACTCTAATCAGGGTCGGGGAGGACCCAATTCCATAGTGGTAGTCCATATGGACCCGCTTGAAACCTACGCTCTAAACCGGCCCTCTTGGTTATCCTACCGGCACCAACAAGCGACCCTCCATCACTTTTCGCCAGCACTGGCCGGTGGAGATACAGACGCAAGGAGAAAAAGGCACCTTGAACCCCCCAAGAACCCCCAAGAACCCTGAGCAGCCTAAACCCTAAACCCATCAGTTCAGAAGCCCTAAGTTGCTGAACCCTAAATCTCAAAAAACTCACTTGAGTTCTACCAGGGCTCCAGTAGTTGTTGGGTTTACCAATGCTCTCCCACATGGTTCCTGGCTCGGGTACCACGTTTTCTGTTACTTACTACAGGGCAACACCAAAACGGTTGGTTTTCCCAAAACGGTACCTTGCAAACTCTGAGCAAGACCCCTAAAGAATCTTAGGCTTTCGGGCTTAGAAGTTACAGCGGAGGATTCAGGTTTTGTCCCTTTCAGGTGGGTAGTTACCGTTACGGGAGCCTTATAGAAGGTCTATATACCTTATAGAAGCCCTATATACCCCAAACTTAAACCCTAAACCCTACACCCCTAGACCCTAAACCCCAAACCCCTAGACCCTAAACCCTAAACTCCCCACCTGTACTTAGAGGCTAAACCGGGTTTAGGGTGTAGAGTTCATCTTGAGGTCCCTTGAGCGTGTAGAGCTTAGGGCCGTTTAGGGTTTAGGTTTTAGGGTTTAGGCACTCGCCGCCTGCAGGTTTGCGAATTTGGGGTTTAGGATTTAGGGTTCAGGGTTCAGCATTTACCCTTACCCTCAAAGGACTCATATTTTAAGGCTTTTGGGCCCAAAGACCCCAATATATAAGGCTTTTTGGCTATTTTGATGCCAAGGGTTAGGAGCGTCGTGGATGCAGGATTCAGTTTGCACGCACGCATCACATGGGTCTTAGCCAGTAATCTAAATCAAGGGCTTCCAGCACAGAGCCAAGCCTCAAATTTCTTTGTAATCTGTAGGCCCGAACACGTTTAAATTGCAACTTATGATTCGGTTGACAGCTGTGTCGGCATAGCTCGGTGTAGCGGTATAGCCCTCAAAGCAGCAGGTTATTTGAGCAACAGGAAAGATATCTTTACTCTGGAAGACGTAGCAGTGTAGGGTTCGGATCGTACACGGCTTTGGCTGTTACGGCCCGTACCCATGCCCTGCAACATTTTGAGTCTGATTCCTACAGAAAGCCAAACAGGGGACGAGGAAGTGATTACAAAGATGCCCCAACAAAGCTTACTTAAAGCCTTTACGCAGCCCATGCTTGGTCAGTCGGCATCGCAGAGCCTCCAAGACGACATGCCATTCTGTGTAATATCTAAAGCGAGGAAACCCTAAACCCTAAACCCTAAGCCTTATTAACCCAAACCCGCTACCCGCGAAAACTCTAAAGCCTTGAACCCCAAAGCCCGAAATCTTGGAGCCTGAAGCCGTAAACCCTTAAGCCCAACAGCCCGAATACCCTACAAGCAATTAGCACCAAAACTCTAAAGCCCTAAACCCTAAAACGCTGCAAAATCTAAAAATTCTGATCCCCCAAAATAGTCGTTCTAGGAACCGTAAGGGGGCCTTAAAACAGACACCCTAAAACCGAAACCTTACTACCTCAAGAAACCCTGAGGCCCAAGACAAAGGGAAACCCATAGGCTCTTAAGGAACCCCAAAAGGAACCCTTTAGGGCTTAGGGTTTATGCATTGGGGTTTGGGGTTTAGGGTATTCGGGTTTAGCCCTGAACCCTAACCCTATGCTTCCAAGGACCTTATGGTTAGGGCCCTAGACCCCTTAAGGACCCAATAATTAGGTCCCTGGAAGCATAGGGTAAACCCTAAGGAACCATTTTCAGGTACCCTAACAGCGAAACCCTAGCGGGACCTCGAAGCCATGCAGCTTCAACCCTATGGAACCCTTTAAGGAACCCTTTTCCCTAAACCCGA